ATATTGTAATATTTGTGTAAAAGGAATTAGCTGTAATTGATCTTACATGCTCTCATTTTAATTATATTAAATCTAAACCATCCATTTAATCTATTGGTTATTGTCTGGGATTTCACTGGTGAGGGATCTTTCAATCTTATGTCGTGAGGGATGTGTCCTATGTTAGATCCATAAAATATCATAACTTATTAGCAATGGGTTGAATTATTATATAAAAGAGTTGTAAATTATAGGACTTCTTCTTTCAATAGGAAGATATTAGTTTTTTTTTCTTCTCTTCGATATGAATAGGGATCCAAAATGATACAAATTGCTCTTCATTTTGTTATGCTCAACGAAGGAACTACTTGAGCATATTTTTTTGAATCCGAACTTCTTTGTTCTTTCAAAGTCTCCTTCTTGCATAGAATAACACAATATAATAATGCAATTGTTGTTGCAAAATTTGAGATTTTAGTAGTAGGCAACATCCTTGCTTAAATTTGAGTAGGTGAGAACCATTCTATTTTGGTTCTTTTCCACATTCTTATCGGGTGATCCAAGAGTTTTCCTATGATTTTATCAACTAATATTTTGATATAGAAAGATTTTCTTATTTCTTCACCATGGATTCTCGTGTCATTTTCTTAAAAAGATATTAGATCACTGTAGGACCTTCTTTGCTTTTAGGCTGGAGTTTAGCTCATAAAAGTTGTTCCCGAGGTTTGTTACCTCGTGGATGTGAGAAGTCTTATCTGGAGCACGATCGTTCGTGTTGGTTAATTTGTCATCCTATACCTGAGAAGTGGGAAAGGCAGGTTCATTAAATGTATGTCTTATTATTGTAACGTGTGGGCGATTCATCTTACCCATGAACTAGGTTTTAAGTTAAGGCACGACGCCTCCCTCTGAGTGCATTTAGTTTCTGTTTACATTTTCGAGGTACAGCTTGAATCATTAATTTTTCTTCTTCCATTTTCCGTTGTTTTGCACTGTTTGATTTACCGTTTTGTCACTATATATAATGCAACTTGGCCTTTTGGATGACTATTGCTTCCATTGTTGTGGATTTTGAGAGCTTTTTCTCTGAGACACTCCAGTGATCATCAATGTTCTTTCCTTTCTAGAGTCCTGACACCGTCGAATCTACTTTGTTGTAATCATCTCCGTGATTCCATTAATCTAACCATTTCTTATGGACCTTACTTCCTTAATCATTGTCTTCCTTTAAGTTTAAATTTTTTGTAATGGCATATGCGAGTGGTATGGCTGAGATCATGAATGAAATGGTTGGAGGGGATTCTCCCCACTCTAAAATATATGAAAACCCATATAACCCTCAAGTTAACCCTATAGGTTTTAATGGCCCAAACCCTAACCTCGTGGTACTAAGTAACTATTCTAGGTCTTGTAGAGGTTCAGTCAAAGATGACGATGTTCACTTTGATATCGTTGAAGTCGTTGTAAGGGAAAGCTTTCACGGCCCGATTTATCGGAAGATCACTCCAAAATGACATTCATCCTGACACGCTGAACAAGGCTAGATGTTGCAATGCACATGTTGGAACATCGTGTTCCACATATTAAAATAATACATATAAATTAACTCTTATCCATAACTTGAGATCTTCTATTGAAGAGTTATGTTTTGATAGAGAAATACTAAACCACAACTAAAATAGTTGTTAGATGTTGCAACATACATTAATATATGTCTTGTTGATGGAGACCAGATGTTGTAACATGCATCTTGGAATATTGTGTTCCACATGTTACACCATAGCACCCAAAACAACCCTTCTTCATATGATTTTTCTTTGTAGAGTAGTTTTTGGACCAAATCATCCTTCAGGGTATATTCAATCAAATTTTCTTTGAATGAAACAAATCCAAATCTTTTCCAATTGACTTTGGATTGACATCACGTATTTCTTCCCAAGAACAAACCGTATGCCTGTTGTTGCACCCCAAATTTTGACCCCTTATATCTTCATAATCATTCTAGGATCATTTTCATTTGATTATCTAACCATAACCTATTTCAAGTTTGTCTTTGTTAAGATACAGGCGAATTAGGGTTCCGTACAGTCAAGAATCGAATTCTCGACGGTTTAATCAGTCAATGTGTTAGATTGATTCTCCATGAAATAAGTATCCACATCATCAAAGATACTCCATTGGGTCAAGTATGAATCTAATTTGAGGTTGTCACCCAAAGATTAAAGACAATGTAGTTCAGGATCCCCGATTAGGGTTTTCGATCAGGAAAAGTCAACCGTAGTTTGACTTTTGATGTAAAAGGTGTTACAATGATGGATATGGTCCATGAAGTTCATATGGCTTAGTGAAGTCCACTCAAGGAGTTTCAAGGCCTCAAAAGACCCAGAACATCAACAGTCAATTCGGTAGTCATCGATCGATTGTTCGGTTAACCGAAAAGTCAACTCTTCAATCATAAGGAATTTGACCTCAAAGTATAAAGAAAAAATGTTCCTAGTAACATATTACACCTATCCATGAAGTTTCATGACCATTGGGTCAAGGATTGAGGAGTAATCGGAAAAATCGGGAATTAGGGTTTTGAAAGGGGCAAGACCATAACACTGCACCAGAATCAGAAAAATAACAATTCAAAAGCACTTTCAGCAATTAATTCAATGTGCAATCATCCAAATAATCATGTATAAATCATGCATGAATTTAACACCAAAATCAGTGATCTAACATCAATTAAACTTAATCAAGCGTTGAAATCAAAAATCTCAAAGATCAAAATCACCAAAATCAATCAAAACTTGAAGATCTACATTGTGATTACTCAAATAAGCTCAAAACAGAATTGGATCTAAAATTAACCAACCTTCAAAGCCGAGATTTGCTTTGGTAAATATTGATTCACTGCAAATTGATAGATCCAAGCTAGAAGCGTAAGAAATCTTCAAGATCTGATAGCTTTCTTGTAATAGAAGTGAAGAACAAGCCAAAATAAACCAAAATTGATCCAAGAATCACTTATAAACTTGCTTCCAAGATCAGATCTAAATCCAAACAAAAATCAAGTGATGAATTGAAGATGATGGAGATGAATGGTGGAGGTTTAGCTCTCGAATTCAATGATTCCAATGAAGAATCAAAGAACTCAGGTGAAAAAGAGTTTTAATGGAGGTTTTGGAGTGTAGAAAAGTTGAGAGAATTTGAGAGCAATGTGTAGAGATATCAAAAAAATGAAGGTGATTGTGAATTATGGTGAGGTTTGGAGCAAATTTACTTAAATAGGCTCTTGGTTAGAAGTAGAATTATGGTTTGGTGTGATGTTACGGAAATTGGAATGGGACTAGGAATGAAAAATTGGAGGGAAAATGAATTGATTTTGAAAGTTAATCCAAATTTAGAGTGATTCTAGATTCTTCTTCTGGTGTAAAATCAAATTCACAAGTGATCAAAATAGACCCCAAAAGTGGCAACATTGAAAATGCACGTTACTAGACAAATTTTGCTATGGTTAATCGATTAACCATTTGCTAGTGCAAAATGGTTAATCAGTTAACAACTCATACATTTTTAAAAATAACGTCATTTTTACCCGTTCTGAGCCCTGTTAAACCTCTAAACTTGCCTTTAAATATTATAATTGTGAGAATGTCTAGGATATCTTGTGACTTGTCTCCTGTGCTGAAAATAACCTGCTGAATAAAAATAAAATCGACCACTCGATTGCTGGGCAAAATAAATGTCGACGCCTCTGACGCTTGTTGTTTAAACTCTTGCAATGAAAAGGAACCTTGAGCCATGAAAAACCTTGATCCCATGTCTAGAGAACCAATTCCATGATATACAAAAATGCAAAATGTAAAGAAACATAAGCCAGTTGATCAAGAAACGATGAGGCAAATTTTGGGGTGCTAAAGTATATTAACATCATTAAGGCTCTGTTTGATAAAATTAGCTTATAACGGATAGCTTAAAACTTATAGTTTATAGCTGATGGCTGGTAGCTGATAATTTAAGTAGAGTGTTTGATAAATTAGCTGTTACACTAACTGATAATTACAAAATGACCTAAAAGGACATTTTTAATTAAGAAATTAGTGATTTCATTATCTTAATATAGTATATTATTAAATTAATTTTTATTCGATAAAAATAAATATATTAATAACAACATGCAAAACAATTTTAATATATTAAAAATTGAAGATATTATCAAAATATATAAATTTGTACATAAGTTTTATGAGTTTTACTATTTATTATGAATATATTGACAACGAAATTCAATAAATAAAAGAACCAACAAGCCATACGTGAAACAACTTATTTTATAAAGTCATTTATGATGACATAATAGTAAGTAATCTTAATAACTACAATTTTTTGTCTAGTTAACTTATTCTTTTGTAAAATATAACTTTTTTTTAATTTAATAAAATACGTGAAATAATAATATTGTAATTTTGAATTTAATTATATTAAAAATAAGTTTATTATCTAATATTTTACAATAAAATTCTAAAATTTTTTCACCCTTTTTGATTTTATTGATTCTTTTTCCATGTTTCACTAATTTTATAATTATTAACACTATTTCTAAATTAATTATATAATTTATATGTAATAAATAAAAATAATATTTATTATAATAAAGTAGTAAAAACATTCCTCAAAATCTCTATAAATTCAATCTTTTAAAATTAATTTTTTAATAGTAATATATATATATATATATATATATATATATATATATATATATATATATATATATATATATATATATATATATATATATATATATATATATATATATATATATATATATATATATATATATATATATATATATATATATATATATATATATATATATATATATAAAAGGGTATTTCAATTATACCCTTATTATTTTAAATATAAATAAATAAATAAATCACTAAAATTATCAAATTGTGACCTAATTTTACTTTCTTCTTCACGGTTGTTTCTTTCTTTCTCACCATTGTTCACTTCGGCCACTGCGAGCTACAATGGGTAAAGCTAAAAAGTCACCCAAATTTGCTGTTATGAAGAAGCTTGTCACCTCCAAAGCAATCAAAAGGTTAGTTTTTTTCTCTCAATTCTTATGCTTGTTTTTCTTTGCTACATTTTCAGTGGTTGAATTTTTGTCAATTTCAGCTATAAAGAAGATGTTTTGAATCCAGAAAAGAAGAAAAAACTTGATGAAAAGTTACCTAGAAACGTGTAAGCATTGATTCTCACTTTTCATTCTAATTTAATGTAGCAATTTTCGTACTGTTTTTTTAGGGTTTAATAATTACTGTTTTGAATTTGAATTATTCAGCCCTAAGCATTCTTCGGCGCTTTTCTTTCAATACAATACTGCCTTGGGACCTCCTTATCGTGTTTTGGTGGATACTAACTTCATCAATTTCTCCATCCAGAATAAAGTATGTGTTTTTTTTTCTATTTGATATATTTGGTATTGTGATTTTTGTATTCTTTTTTAAAATAAATAAATGATTTTTGTTCAATCTTGTAGTATATGGTGCCGATGATATTTGTGATTGTATTTTGATGATAGGTTTATGATATCCTTATGAGCTTTTCCTTATAGGATTGGAATGATAAATCAAACATTTAATTTCTCCTGGAAAATTAAAGCACTATAGAATTTTAGTGTGTGATTGATATAATTAGAATTGTATGAGTTTAATTTTCTGTTTGAAGTTTCTTTGTTGGTGGCTCACACAAAGGGATTTGTTTATGCAGTTGGATTTGGAGAAAGGAATGATGGATTGCTTATATGCAAAATGTGAGTTTAAATTGATTATTACTTGATTCGGTTTATGTATAAGTTTAGTTGAATGTCGGTGTTCCTAATGTGGTTTTTTAGAGCTTGTGTTTTGGTAGTCTCGTGCATGATTGAAAATCTCGTTTTTCAATGTGGCATGGTGTCTTTGAATCTATCATCCTATGCATTATTCTTACCCTTGCTCTATTCGTACTTTGGATTTTCAGGTACCCCATGTATTACAGACTGTGTAATGGCAGAACTAGAGAAGTTGGGCCAAAAATATCGTGTAGCTCTGAGGTAGTTCTCATGTTATATGGCTTGATTATTATTGGTCTATACTTTCATACGGCTGCTATGCATTTGTGAGCATTCAAAATCATGTATGCAATTATTCATGTTGGGTGTGTCCATGCTTTTTTGGGATATTTTTATGCTAAAACCCTATATTTTTGGAAGGTATAGAAGAAACAGGGTATCCAAACTTATAGCTTCAGCTATTTTCTCTAGTAAAATGTGAAAACCATTCCTTTTATATGCCTTCCTAGTTTTTCATGCTACTATTGATTACATTTTGGATTATGATACAGGCCATGTCTCAGTTTAGTGCTGAAAATGAATTATATTTTTCCATATTATTGATTTATCTCGTTTATAATGACAGGATTGCAAAGGATCCTCGATTTGAGAGATTACTATGTATTCATAAGGGTACCTATGCTGATGACTGCCTTGTTGAAAGAGTTACTGGGGTGTGATTTATTTTTTAAGTTTATGTTGAACATTGAAATATTGCAACAAAGCTTTTCTAATAGTTGAATTAATACTTGCTTAATTCTCATTTTTTGGTGGTTGCAATGTTTATCCATTTAATTAAACATTTTTATCAAGCAAGAATTTCTTAGCAACACACACTTGCATTCTATTCATTACATTGTACCAAATTATTGAATCAAACCATTTTCTTGGAAGCAGAATAAGTGCTTCATTGTCGCAACATGTGATCGAGACTTGAAGAGGAGGATCCGGAAGGTAAACTAATTAATTATTTTCTGCTTGTCATTACTTTGATGTTGGATCTGGATGCATGACTCACGAACTGGGTTTCTGTATTGCAGATTCCTGGTGTGCCGATAATGTACATCACCAAACACAGATACTCAATTGAGCGGTTGCCTGAAGCAACAATTGGCGGAGGTAGCTACTCTGAATTCATACTATATAATATACGCTAGCTAACTAACTATGAATTTGAAATCGTTTTATTTGTCAAGCCAATCTTCTACATCTCCTATTAGCAATTTTGCATTACTACACCGTTCCATGCTAAAAAAATATTTCTGGCACGCAACTGACGATGAACCTATGATTCTTAATGCAGCACCTAGAATTTGATGCCAGTAAAACAGGAAAAGCTATGCCTACCAAACTTTTTGACACTCCTTTTTGGTTTAGAAGCAATCTTACTTTAAGCATGTTTGATGCTTTTGCTAGCTGGATTGGAATCTACAATACTGATCAAGAAGCAATTCTACAATTGTTGAACCTTTAAATTTTATTAGTGTAACTTGGTAGATTTTGTGCTGTAAAACTTTTTTTCTTTTACTCTGGTGTTGCCTTGCAAATGGATCAATGTGTACTTACAGAATGCCTAATTTGTTGGCTGATGACATTTTTTTAGTTCTAGATGTTAGCCTATTGACAAAAATACTCCATTTATATGATTGGAAAAGAAAAAAATGTGTTCAGAGTTCATCCCTCACATGTAAGAATCGCTGTTTTTCTTGTTTTAATCAAAGTTAGTATACTTAACTTAAAAAAGGGCGTGTCTATGAAAAGTTAACATTATTAAGAATTTAATCAATGTTTTAATATTTTCATATCATTTGATTCAAGTTAATTGTATCATCTTTCCTAAATACTGGATGAGCAGATTAAGATAGAGTATATGTATATGTTCATATCTTATGTCTGAATCACCAAACAAGTTTTCAGTGTTGCTGGTTTCTGTACTGATCATATAACATTCATGTCCTGTCAAATATCTCAGTCCAATGGTATGTGAAAGTTAACCACTAATATCTGTTTTTGTATTCCTTTATTAGATTAATTAAAATTAATTAATCCTTTCCATATTTTTAATATAATACTGATATTATGAATATATATTATTATCGTTGCTAAAATAAAATATATTATCAAATTACTGGTTATACCAAAAACTGTTGTTAAAATATTGAGTGCTGTGCGTATATGAATGTAGAAGATTAAGGTAACAGAATAATATAATAAATATATTTGTTTTACTACATTACCAAGCAGCGTTTGTAGTCCAACGGTTAGGATAATTGCCTTCCAAGCAATAGACCCGGGTTCGACTCCCGGCAAACGCAATTCTTTTTTGCTCTACTTATACTTAAAAATTAAACACTTTTAGCAGAATGCTTTTGACTAGTTTGTCTAGGACAATTTTCTATACTTACAAGAATTCAACATTCACATTTTACCCAAAAAATAGACACAAATTAATCTGTGTTAAATCAAATTGAATTAAAAAAACATTTAAACAGAATCAAATTCTGAGTATATTAATTTTTGAAACTGAGTCAAATAACTTTTTTTTGTCACTTTCACAAGTATTTTGGGTAACAGAATGTTCTATTTATGACCTTCATTACTTACGGGCTACAGGGTAACCCTACTATATACAATCATTATACACTGTCATTATTCAAAGGCATGAACTACAAAATATAAAATGAAGTAACTGTGGGCATTAGTGGATACAGTCACGGAAAGAGCATAGTGCAGTTGGATTGATTGAAGTGTTTTCTAACTCTTTTTCTGTCAAAATATAAGGTGACATCTTCACAAATTAGATAGGTATCTATGAAACAGAACCAGCTCTCGTTTTTGCAGATCTTTGCTTGACAAAAAGACTTGATAGAACACTTTTGCTGCGACTAGGAACATGGACAGTCTCATGCTGATTTTGATTGTTGAAGGACCCAAGTTTTGTCAATGGTCTGAAACCCTCTAATGCATCCTGCAGACAAAGTTTCATCAGTAACTTCCCTATATAAATGTTACAATCACAAAAGCATTAAAAATGCATGACTTGTCAAACATTATCAGTTTAAAAACACGTCAACAATTGCAAAAAAAAAGGGTTAATATAATCACAATTTGACAATTCTATTAAGCATGGAACAACATTCAAACTTGCTGATGAATATGACATTACCCTTCTTGTGACACCGAGAGACTGGTTGGCCGCACTAGAAGTAGGAACTCCATTTTGTACATGGTTTTTTGATTCTGAGGGTTTCAACTGTGTAATCTCTTCATTATCTGCATAATACACTTGAGACTGATTAAGATTCAATCTCTAATTATTGGATGATCCAAAACAAATATATATAAATGGTAAATAAAATTGAATCCCGAAACAATTGAGAGAAATCACACCCTCAAACTAGAGCATACATGCCATATGCATCTAATTTGTTTAATATCATTTGTATGCTACAGGTGTGAAAATGTCCACTAGTTGATCACTAGAAAACACCAATGAAGTCTTAACTCTTAATGATACTAACAAGAGTCTTTTCCCAAAAGAAATAACAAAAAATCTCAATACATTTAGTCCTCTCTTGCAAAAGTTTAAGTTCTTGAAGTAGGTGTTTTCAACCAATGTCGAGTGAATCATGGCTGAGGTTTGGCCTAATAAAGTGTTCAAATGCCCCAAAACGAAAGAAGGTAGAAACCAACTGTAATACATATTTTCCTGAAAAAACATTTCACTAGTAGACAACAGGTTCATCATGCAAGTTCCAGTCTTCGAGATAACAATTTCAAATTGATGAAAACATGATCTCTTATAATTTGAGGATAAATTTATTGCATAAGTGGGGATCCAAAAAGGTTATGGATTGAGAAGTCACATCTGTGAATCCCACTATTTAAGGAGCAAATTATATCAAGGAATTAAAGGAAACTCTTAGAATTTGTGATTAGACCTAACTCAACCTTACAAAACCAGTTTATAAGGTGAAAATTACTCCCACTTATAATCATACTTTAAGGCCATACTCATTCAATGCGGGATTCATAACACAAAGAATAAAACAATCAACAAATACAAGTGATACAATTAATTATCGTACCTATAAGGTGGAAAACTCCAGTGGTCTTGACAGAAAATTTGGGGTCCTTGATTCTGCAAAAGTGGAGTGTAAAAGTATTAAACAAACACTGTAACTTTGTGCTGCAATAATACCATCAACGGTAATAGAAAAAAATATACCAACAGTCCTCCGCGGCATGAAACTAAAAACTTACTTTTTGGAAGGATGTGAACTTCGTCTTTTTAAGGTTGACTTAGTTTCTGATGCAAGGTGCCATGAAAGAGTCTTTGAAACAGGGGTACCTATATACAATAATATGCATTCAGTTGAACGAAACAATGTCCACTTACCAAAAAATCTAAAGGGGCATACATTAAAACCAAACACTTCAGAAAAGACAGTTTTCCAAACCACACACCTGAAGGTTGAGGACGAGTTCTGCTTTTAAATGAATTTTGTCTTGCATCAGTTTGTTTGTATGGACGGAAATGTACCTTTTTATTGGCAGAATCTAGCTTGCATTGTTAAACAGAAACAAAAAAGAAGCATAAGTAAAAACAAAATTACAATCTATGCTGTAAATAATTACTTATGGAGAAAAGTTAAAGCAGTAAAGCATACTTGGCAAAATGTAGTGCTTGTGATGTCTAGGAATAATAGACAACAACTGCTGTTGCCGAACACCCTCTTTATTTGTGTATACTTGGCATGTAAGAAGTCTCTGCATGTAAGAAAATATGTCACTTCGACTCCATTAGAAACACCTAATTTAACATGATACCTCAAAAGGTTTGGTAATGACCTGGTTTAGAGTAGAGATCTTCAAGTCCATGGTTGAGGCATCCAATGCTTGCTGCTCAAGAAGGTCAGTTAACTTGTAAGCCACAGTCCCAAGATGATCAACAGCGTTTACAATGGCTCTTGTAGCATAATCTTTTAGGTTATCAAGTACCCTGAAAAATCCATGCAGGTCAAGTACACAAAACTTATCAGCCAGCAGATGATGCGTAAGCTAATAATATCTCTCACGCGCTATTAAAATAACTAGTCACAAAAATTCCAAGGATACAAATCATGTCGTGTTCGTTAAGGATGACCATTTTCTAAAACATCCATTTTCCATCAGTTTCACCATTGAGACACTCACACAAACGTATATTTTAAGAATCAAAATAATTCTGCATATAAACAACTATGCTGACACTGGAGATTGGGAATCACTGAATCAGTGCTCACAGATGTTACACTAACATAAAACAAAGTCTAGTTAATGTTCTTCAGGTCTGGACTTTTAGACCGCACCAACACCGTGTTAAATTACTGTTTAAGCACACTAAATTTACATATCTGCTATTTTATGCACGTCATTATATTTAATCCTACCCAACATAAAGCAAAGCATACAACTTATATTCTTAGAAATACTTAAAGAATGATACTAAAAAAATATTTAGCCATAATATTAACTGGCAAAGTTCTTTGATAAAATCAAGTTTGTTTGTCCCAGTTCAAGTAAATGTTTGAAATAGCGGTGGAATGTAAAAAAACGCACTTCCAGTGAAGCTACATTTTATTGCTTCAGGCTTTTCATGTTATATTGGCATTGGGACGCGAGAAATCTTCTTCTAACGCCCATCCAAACATATGCTAAGTGTATGTTTGGTTTCACGTTTGAAGCACTCATAATTGATTCGGAATGCGTAGAATTGATTTTGATATGTTTGGTTGTTCTTGACTAGAATTGATTATGCTTGAAACTAAGAATTGTAACTTTTGAGTCTAAACGTGATTTTTTACATAGAAATTTAGTGTTCAACTCACTTTTACATGAATTTATTCAAAAACATAAATCCCTTTATCTTAAACTCACTTTTAGCCAAAATCAATTTTACATAATCATTTTACTTGGAATCAAAATTTTCACCGCAGAACCAAACACACTAATTCACCAAAAAAAAAAGTTAAAAGAAGGGCTAAGATTGCCTTCCATGACAACAAACAAACATCTTACATTTCTTTGTGATGACTTAGGAGATAAGATTTTTCACAGTAATCTGCAGCAGAATAGAGTTGAGGCCTCAAATTCTTAAGTTCCTGAAAAGACATAACATAACACAAGGATCAACAATAGGAATTGTATCTCAAATCACAAACTCTTTTTTCATATGAAATACAGTCTTCAAATTCTGAGATAAAAACCCTAAAATAATGTAATAATACAACCAGATAGAGATCTGAATGAAGTTACCTGAAGGGCGAAAACGAAGC